CCCTTCGTGGTCACTTTGGAAACCTGCAGAACATCTCTTTCCAAAAACTCGTTCATCCAACGAACAGCGAGGCTCTGGAACACATTGCCAAGGGAGGTGTTCCCCGAGGCATATAACCTCCAGAAATTTAAGAAGAACACCAATTCCTACCTATAATTTCCCTTGGTTCTCACGATGTTCTCTAACCATTACAGGATAGCCCTTTTCGTGGGAACCAGAACATCAAAACAAATTTGTTCATTCATAAATGCATGGTTGAATGAATCAGTTTTTTGAGTTTGCGGAAAATTTTCCTGTTTCGAACTTATATAGCCCCTTATTCAAGTCTATACTCTTCAATTAGTATTCATGTCTAATCAGTAAGCTATTTTTAAGCAAAAATCGGTTCGTACTGTGCAAACAGATTTTCAAACCTCGAGCAACATTAATAATGATTTAAATCGGTTGTAAATAAGGTCGAAAACATATACCTAAAGGCAGAGCGCAACCTATGTGGACATACAAAAGAGTAAATGCGTGTCTAATCCAATCAGGTAAGTCATCTGTTACACCTTTTGTGATAGGATCAGGATCATAGTAGGCGCTTAGGACCACCTGGAAACTGTGAATTTGTGAATTGCTTTTCCACTCATTTTATGCACATTCTGCCGAGCCGTTTTGTCTAACGATGGCAGACATTTTGGGAGTTCTGTCATTTGGAATGATCGATACATGTGCTTTTCAAATACAAGTTGGGTTCCGTTTTTTGTTATGAAACCATCTTTGGCTATATAATTACGTACATAAATAACTGCTATATCGTCCAATCCAGATTTTAGAATGTTGATTTCGGATTCAATTTTACAATCTTTTTTTTTATTTATGACAAATTGATAACATTATACAGGACGTGGAAATGAAATTCTGAATTGAGAAAACATAATCACGAGTCTGCGGTCTGAAGGTCTATAATAATATATCAAGTTTCCATCGATCAAAAGTTTAAACCCCTTGATTGGGTGAAAGCATCGAACAGGAATATTCTCAGATAAATTATGAACATGAAAAAATGAAAAAATGGATATACATATAAAGAAATGCATTGAGAATACGCATTCTCTACAGTGTCATTCATAAAGTCGGCATCATATAGGAAAAACTTTTATTAATGACTTATTTTGGAATTCGAGTTGGACGTTAAGTTTTGCTTCAAAAAAGATGAAAAATGGCCTACTCAAACGGGGTCACGTGACTTTCGCTACATGTCAAAAGTGAAATTTTTTCAAATTATTCGCTGAAAGTATAGGCTTATATAAGTTCGAATATCGAAAAAGTTTACTTAAAAAAGTTGTTTCTATTTAAATTTTACATACAGTGATTCGGATTTTATCTTTCTATTACATTTTTTAGATTTCGATATATTTTTAAAATTTTCGAAATTTCTGTGACATTAAAAAAATTGTTAATTCGATAAAACTACTTCATACCAGTAGTTTCATCATGCCACTAACTTTCAATGACTAATTATCACTATAGTTATCGACAAAAATATAATTTTCTTCAGAAAATGATAATCTCCCCTTCAAAATTCTATTATGTTTGATGCAAACATAACATCAAAGTTCTGTTATGTTTGAATCGAGCATTTAGAAACGAAATTCATTTGAATTTATTTTTCCAGTACTGAAGAGACCAGTTTGAATACATTTTGTTTCTAAATGCTTGACGATATATCAACTTTGCATCAAACATAACAGAATTTGAAAGCGGGTATTATCATTTCTGTCCATAATCAGTGATAATAAGTAATTGAAAGTAAGTAGCATGAAAAAGCTACTGGTATGAAGTAGTTTCGTGAAATTAACAATTCTCCAAATATTACAGAAATTTCGAAAAATTAAAAAAAAATCAAAATCTAGAAGTTGCAATAGGAAGATCAAATTCGAGAAGCATGTGTAAAATTGAAATAGAAACAACTTCACGTGACCCGTGACGACAAAAAAAAATCCCAAAGTTGAAAAATGTCGATTTTTCACACCCAATATCTCTGTAATCATTTCCGCTAGACCCCAAGTGTGATGCATCGATGAAATCAGCTCTTCAGAGAGAATCTGAAAATGCAATAAAATACAGGGTTTTCCGTTTAAAATAACAAAGTTGTTGCTACTTTTCGATAGAAGCGGCAACGCCGCAGAGCTGAAAATATTTTAGATCGATAGACCAAGAGCAACTACGTGAGTAACCAAAATTTCAGAATGATTCTTTGTCCCGTTCTCCGTAAACGTCTAACGTACCATGGACCGTGAGTTACCCTGTATATCTGTTGAAAAAGAGAGCATGACAAATCAAAATACTTCGGATCTGAGAATTGATAATCTCTCAAATCTGATAAATAATATGATGTATTATGATATAAAAATACTTACCAATATGTTCATGCATGGAAATGAAAATTTAAATGTATAGGAGAAAACTTGTATATATACTCGTCAAACCATAAGATTTCCACATTGTGGAATGGCGGCAACGCGAAAGGAAAAACAGCGTAGACTGAGAGGCGGGCGATATAATATGAAATATTGCGTAAGCGTAATTGCCTGCTAGAGGGTGAAAGGTAATTTTAATTTTCAGTAACTGAATTAGTTGAATTTTCCATTTTCGTCATTTTGTTTTATTGTTCCTATTTCAAATCATATTGTTTGATTTAGTTTTCAACAGACCGACGCCAGTTACGTATTACTCTACTTTCTCCTAAATATTGGATATTGGACATGCCCCCGCCCCCTAGGAATCAATCCTATAGATATAAATACTCCACTGTCGGGAGTTCATTTTTGTTTCAATGGAAAAAGGTATAGTAGTGGCATATTGTTTTCAATGTTCATTGGTATAAATAATAGATAAAAGTATACAAGAATCTTCAACAATATAATTTTGTTAATGAGAAACAAACAGTAATATAACATTTGAGCTAAGTTATAAGTATGTGATATCAAAAACAAAAAGTTCATAACGAAAAAACTATGTCTTGGGCCATATCTCAAAACCGGCATGATTTTATTGGCGATAGTGCGGAATCTACCAAATCTTGACGCAAAATGTTATCTCAATATAACTGAAATAAAAACATAAGTTATGATGGATACCTATAGTTGTGGTGCACGCACACAGAGATGTGTCAACAATATGGTAGAAACTTCTTGTTCCAAAATTTGCTAATGATACTATTATCGCTCCACGATCTCCATCAAACTGTACTAGTACAGTCTCACGAACTGGAATGGAAGATGCATGCGGTGTTAGAAGGGAGTATCCCAAGCTACCCAAACACAGCAGCGATTATATGCCAAACTTCTTTTTTTTTCTTGAAATAACTTGAAATTTCCATGCGGGCCATATTATAATCACCCTGGCCATATATAGTTCCACTACTTTATTCGTCAAAATGGACAATTTCTTATCGTTGAAGTTTTCGAAAATCACCTCAGATAAATCACAATTTTGATTCGATTGTATAATTCCAAGTTATGTGTATTCTTTAACACTCCTTCCTCAACGATGACGTAAATCTGAGGCAACATCAGGTTATATAGAGTTGGGCCACATACCTACCTATAGGTAGGTCAGTATTATTTATTTTGAAATAATGAATTGATATTCCAGAGTAATGATTCATTATTCCAGATTTTTTGGGATTTTCTCTCCTCGTTTCTATAAAATGAAAATATGAATATTAGTTCAATATACGTATAGTGAGGACAAATCAGATGATCTTCCTCAAAATGTCACTGCGTTTAAAGAATTTTTCTATCAGAGATGCTACGAGAAAAATTCACCAGCTTGTCAGTGACAAATTGTGTTGAAAAAAGTTTGGAGAAGAGAAATAAAGGTACCTACCTATATAGAAAAATATCAAATTTTTACTCAGCTTTGGACTTTTCGGAAACGAATCTGCTCCCGTTTTCAACATGAAAAATGTATTTTTTGTATCGCAAATTCGTATATTTGTCCTGACGCACTTTCCAGTTCTCAGTGACAATTGATAGTTTGCTTCTCCAATCTTTTTTCAATACAAATTCTCACTGACAAGCTGGTGAATTTTTCTCTTAGGATCTCTGAGAGGAAAATTCTTTAAAAGCAGTGATATTTTGAGGCAAATCAACTGATTTGTCCTTGCACGTATATTGAAATAATATTCATATTTTAATTTTATAGAAACGAGTGAAACGAGGAGAGAAAATCCCAAAAAATCTGAAATAATGTAGTACCTAACTCTATATCATAATACCAAAATAAGGTACAAGGTACCCATAGATATCTGGACTATTTTTGCAAAAATTTTTTCTACTGACCAGACAATATTATACCTACAGCTCGCCTACAACTACTTCACTTGGTGACATGATTGATATCACTAAAACATGTGTATATAATATGTTTGAGACAGGTGTGTAAAACAAAAATCACAATCCAAAAGTCACCATGCATAAACAAACTTTTTGAATGATCTATAATAAACCTTCATAATACGATATGCATGTTGCTCCAATAAGGCATGATGAAGCAGTAGACATAGCCATTACAGCATTAAAAGATACAACAGACACACCTTCACAGTGCAAAGATACACCCTACTCATGTCTCAAATTCACGCTATGATCATTCAGAATTTGTTCAACATACACATAACTTACCAATAAATTTTATACTTTTCTCACCAATATTACTGTTCAAAGGCAGTTCTCCTGACTAGACCCTCCCATCGTATAGTTGTTGGTCCCTCCCATGTATACAATCACCCAGTGTAGTGGGAAACAAGTTTTGTCCCACCGTCGATTCTACAGCCTTGAATGCTATGTGGCCGATAATATCGATACTGATTTCTTTCATGTTATAGAATATGCAAGTATAGTTTGTTCGTCCAATAGAGTAGAAAATCTACCCACCAGATTGTTTTTTTTTTCAAGCAGCTGCATTATTATGATTTGTAATTCAGTTTACCTCTTCCTGCGTGATAGGATGCGCGTCCTATTCGGTTTCCGGTTTTATTTTGACAGCGATGTCATCGTCTGCTTCAGCAGCGGCGATTGCTGATACGTGTCGCTGATTTTTCTGATGTTTCGATACTGTCAAGGATGGAGATGCGGCCGATTTTTGGAGGTTATCCTTTCCAAGGTAATTACCACCACCGAACTTTTCTTTTATCGCTTGGAGCGCACGAAAGGAAATCCCTATAATGTTCAACGAACATCGTGCGTTCTTAGGGAGGATAGGGACAGGAGGTAGGTATTGGAATTTTATTTGAACTTCTGGAGATTTTATGTTGTTGGGAATACTTCCTCAGGCAATGAATTCCAGAGCCTAGCTGTTCTATGGATGAAAGAGTTTTGATAAAGTGCTGTTCGACATCTTTAGAGGTTGACAACGAAAGGATGTGCTGACTGGGCTTGTCTAGTTCGTCTGACTGGTATTGCTAGTGAAGGGATGATAGCAGAGATTTCCGAAGAACATTTCCCGTGGAAGTATCGATAGAAAAGTGAAAGGTCGCCGACCTTCCTACGGTGTTCCAATGATGTCAAAGAGTGAGTCAGTGTAGCGTCACCCACCAGGCGAATGGCTCTTCTCTGGATAGAATCTAAGAGCATAAGCGTATGTTTTGGTGCTGAACCCCATATGTGGGAACAGTATTCTAGAACAGGCCGTATCAGCGCTTTGTAGATCATGAGAAGCTGTTGAGGTGTAAAGTAGCTTTTCGCACGGAACAAGAATCCGAGTTTTTGTGAAGCAACTTTTGAGATGGATCTGACATGATTATCCCATCAAAGAGTGTTGCTGATGTAAATACCGAGAATAAATATTGTGGGCTTGGTGGGGATGGTGGTGACAGACATTACGATATTGGACATACTGAGTTCCGCCTTTTTAGAGAAAATACAACAACAACAACAAATCGTTGATATGGAGTAGAAATAGTGTTGGTTCAAGAATTGTTCCTTGCGGAACACCAGCATTTATGATAAGAGAGTCAGATGAAACTCCGTCGACCACTACATGGAGAGTCCTGTTCGAGAGAACACTAGCTAGCATAGAACATAGCTGGGGAGGCAAGCCATAAGATGGAAGCTTGGCGAGGAGTTCGTGGTGCCAGACTCGATCGAATGCCTTGGAAATATCAAGTGCCATGGCTAAGGTTTCACCATATTTTTCAATAGATTGCTGCCATATATATGTGAGACGTGAGCGAGCAGGTCACCAGTTGATCTCTGATGACGAAAGCATATCTATGCTATCGTTGTGATAATACCTGAATGTTCCAGTTTTTTTATCGCTTGGAGCGCACGAAAGGGAATCCCTATAATGTTCAAAGAACATCGTGCGTTCCTAGGGAGGATAGGGACAGGAGGTAGGTATTGGATTTTTTTTTTTTGAACTTCTGGAGATTATATGTTGTTGGGAATACTTCCACAGGCAATGAATTCCAGAGCCTATAGCCGTTCTATGGATGGAGGAGTCTTGATAATAAGTATAAAAATATTATTTCAATACCATCTCATAGAACTGCACTTTTCGAGAGAAGCTTCTCTTATACCGCTGCCAAAATCTACAATAACTTACCAAGCTTTAACAATACCAACAAACATGCAGTTCGCAAGTCAATAAAAAAATCAATACTTGATGGATCATTCACGCAACCATTCTGAACCCGCTATAATCCTTTCCTGATGTATACCATCCCTTTTTTTTTTCTTGTCTCTATAAGTTTCCGCATCTTATATCTCTTCTGTCTTTTCTGTACTCCTGTTACTCATACTTTTGTTCAATCTCTCCTACTGCCATCAGCGTCATTATTCACAATATTCATAATATCCATGATCCAATATTCATAATATATAAAATTTCATTATTTACTCATTCTGAATTTATATTGTATTCTTTCATTTCCTGCACTAAGTATTTACATATAGATATTTAATTTTTAATGTATTTTGGCGGGTACTGGCTTTGTACGGGTATGTTTTGTTTTGTCCCCTTGGGTGAGTACCTGAACCTCACCTGAAACATGATAATATTTGTTTCTATTTACTATGTTGCAAATCTTCTTGTCCAATAAAGACATTATTATTATTATTATTATAAAGTGCTGTTCGAGGTGCTGTTCGACATCTTTCGAGGTTGATGTTGAGCTCATAATGTTAAAATGTTGTCCTTGATTCTCTTTGTGCACCCTGTATATGCGGCAATAACTTCATATTCGTTTTTGTATAATAAATCTAGCTTCATCAGTAGGAACTCGATCATTTCAGAGATTCATTGAGACAATGGTTGCCCCAGAAAATTGATTACCACGCAAGAGTATCTATATTTTTTTTCCTCAGTTTTCATCATTCCATGTATTTCAAAACACTGTAAATTTCTTAGATAACAACGACAAACAATTACCCAATGTTCATTAATATGTCAAAGAAATTAAAAAGTAATTACAATTATTTATGAGCTCTCAATCCATTGAAGGTCATAGTAAAAGAAATAACTGTATATACTACTAAATCCATCACATTCCGTATACAGGAATAAGTAAAAAACTAAAAAAATTAAATTTTATTAAACGAAATAGTAGATTGTTTTATTAGGATCAAAAGTGACACTTTGTTTGACAAGCGAATTTTGCATTTGCGAGGCGGAGCGTTTAGCGAAGCCGAGCGAAAGCAAAATTTGCGAGTCGAACAAAATCACTTTTGATCCGAATGAAACATGCAATTTTTTCTGCAACCGAAACAGATAACTCAAATAAATATGTGAAGTTACCACCAATATAAATACAATCACAGAGTGACATATTTGTGTATGGACCAGGTGCTCTAATGGCAAATACCGCGTCAGTGCCAGCTATAGAATCAAGACTTGGAAAATGTTAGGTTATAGTGAGCACATCAACAATAAGAAGAGCAATTATTTTTACCTCTCCGTAATACAATGTTTGTCGCTTGATAATCAAAAGAAAGTTAACAATATCGTTGTTTGAGACAAATAACTATTGCTTGCCGTGATTATCCAAAAACAAGTTATCCATCCCGAGAATAACGAATGAAATACAGATCAAGCAAGTATTCGAATCTTGAAGGCTTCCCTGTTCAGAACAAAAATACTCAACTGAGATGTTAATAATTCCAATACTAAACTATAATAAGGTGTATTTATATCTCCAGCATGGGTATGAAATGCCAAATCTGCTGAAATCGGGAACAAATCAGGTATGCCTCTCAACCCAAATAACCAACCGTCACAATGTTGTTTATTCTTGATGACGTCCAGTAGATCCTTTTCAGTTCCTAGGAGCTAAAGTTGAACTTTAGCTCCTAGGAACTAAAATTCAACTTTAGCTCCTAGGAACTAAATATGTTGCCTAGCAACATACCTATTTTTGTGTCAGTAATAGAAACGTCAATTTAAGAGCTAATTTTGGTATCAAAATGGACGACTTTTGTGTCGGTTGCAGAAAAATTAACATTTATAGCCATTTGTGTGTATACCACTTAGGTATTACGTATTCATAAGAAGATCACTATTCTCAGATTCCGACGCAATTACCATCAGCTACACGATTTACCAAATATTCTCAGGTAGGATAATTTAATGAGTGAACAATTTAATTCCGAAACAGCAGCCAATTTAAGATCCCTTTGACAAGATTGACTCCGTAATCTTAATGATAATTTAATCACATTTGCCAGGGGTTGGACCAAGTAATTCTGAAAAACCGTTTCGAATTTAGATTGCTGTAATTTGTTACAAAAGATGATTCGGCCTAGAAGTTATAGAATGTTATATCAGCTGGGTGATCAGTGTCTTTCATAATTACATACAGGGTGAGTCAAGACTAACCAGCCATAGCCTGTGATTTTTTCATTCGGAGAGATAAGAGTTTGGGTTATATTATCGATGATGGTGCTTCACTTGAACCCAATGACAATCACCTGTTTGATCGAAAGTAGACCCACCTTTGTGTTTTCAAATGGCACCCTGTGTATTTCTGTAGTCTAGCTTATTCGCCTCGAAATTCTCTATTCAACTATGTATCACAATTTGATATTCGTCCATCAATTGGCTGTCGAATTGCATTTTATTAAAATATATGAAGTTGGCTGTGGCCCGAATGCAAATGACATTTCGATGCTTGATAGGCTTAGAAATCCAAAGATCATTACTTTGACGATCAGCAATTGCTATTTCTTGTTATGAGTTTGTTGTTCCAGGAGGACTTAAGGATAATTTGAGTCCATCTTGACGTTTCGGAGACTCATCATCTTTCCGTACTCTTTTTGATATACTTATCTTTCACGGATATATTTAGAGGAACAATTTCAGGAATCATGTTGATGTATCTGATAGTAATATTGTAACGACCTTCATTCTGGGGACCTTTCTTTGGCGCTCTGTTCAGGATGGAGACTACTCTGATATTTGACGGGGGGGTTCTCGAGCGCCAGATTGTTTTTGAGGTAGTTTACTCTACCTGCTCTGCAGAAAATATTTTAATACAGAGGCCCAAAGTAGCAACAGTGGAGAAAGCTACAGGAGGTATACCTACCTCGGTACCTACAGAATAAACCAGGGGTCAATGTTATTGAATCGACCTGGAATCAATAAGGAGCCAAGGGAGTGTAGGCTTTAATTAAACCCTGGGTTTAGCCTGGAATAATGGTTGCTATTCTTAGTCGGGATGACCACAGGAATCAGAGCAAAATATCTCTAGGGTCTCTGGTATTTTTAGGTTAGGTCTGGAAAATTATTTATTCGCCCTATTTCATTAAGTCTTCCTGGGGAATCGGAAACACAGTTCCAAACGAATTAAACAGATTCAATTCCTCTTTATCTTCCCTTGCCCTTCGATTTTCTAATTTTCTAATATCGGAATTTTAGTGAGGTTAGTTATATTTTTCCATTCATGTCAAAATTTCATGAACTGAGATCAGACCACCGCCTGACAGAGCACAGAGACACCGGTGCACAGGACTGGAATGTTCAAGGAAAAGATGAGGAGAAGAAGAATTGACAACTGACTTGTCAGTGTCAGCCGTCAGTCAATAATAATAATCAGCAATTTGACAAATGAAAATATTGAAAATCAATAAATGAATTATTGAACTATTTGGAACTGAAAACAATGACGACAG